GCAGATGTAATATATACAGACTTTGCAAAAGCCTTCGACAAGTGTGACCATGGCGTAATAGCGCACAAAATGCGTGCTAAAGGAATAACAGGAAAAGTCGGTCGATGGATCTATAATTTCCTCACTAACAGAACACAGAGAGTAGTCGTCAACAGAGTAAAGTCCGAGGCAGCTACGGTGAAAAGCTCTGTTCCACAAGGCACAGTACTCGCTCCCATCTTGTTCCTCATCCTTATATCCGACATAGACAAGGATGTCAGCCACAGCACCGTGTCTTCCTTTGCAGATGACACCCGAATCTGCATGACAGTGTCTTCCATTGCAGACACTGCAAAGCTCCAGGCAGACATCAACCAAATCTTTCAGTGGGCTGCAGAAAACAATATGAAGTTCAACGATGAGAAATTTCAATTACTCAGATATGGTAAACATGAGGAAATTAAATCTTCATCAGAGTACAAAACAAATTCTGGCCACAAAATAGAGCGAAACACCAACGTCAAAGACCTGGGAGTGATCATGTCGGAGGATCTCACCTTCAAGACCATAACATTGTATCAATCGCATCTGCTAGAAAAATGACAGGATGGATAATGAAACCTTCAAAACTAGGAGGCCAAGCCCATGATGACACTCTTCAGGTCACTTGTTCTATCTAGGCTGGAATATTGCTGCACACTAACAGCACCTTTCAAGGCAGGTGAAATTGCCGACCTAGAAAATGTACAGAGAACTTTCACGGCGCGCATAACGGAGATAAAACACCTCAATTATTGGGAGCGCTTGAGGTTCCTAAACCTGTATTCCCTGGAACGCAGGAGGGAGAGATACATGATTATATACACCTGGAAATCCTAGAGGGACTAGTACCGAACTTGCACACGAAAATCACCCACTACGAAAGCAAAAGACTTGGCAGACGATGCACCACCCCCCCAATGAAAAGCAGGGGTGTCACTAGCACGTTAAGAGACCATACAATAAGTGTCAGGGGCTCGAGACTGTTCAACTGCCTCCCAGCACACATAAGGGGGATTACCAACAGACCCCTGGCAGTCTTCAAGCTGGCACTGGACAAGCACCTAAAGTCAGTTCCGGATCAGCCGGGCTGTGGCTCGTATGTTGGTTTGCGTGCAGCCAGCAGCAACAGCCTGGTTGATCAGGCTCTGATCCACCAGGAGGCCTGGTCTCAGACCGGGCCGCGGGGGCGTTGACCCCCGGAACTCTCTCCAGGTAAACTCCAGGTAACGTCCCTGTGATTCATCTGAGTCTTCAACTTCCAACTGTGACCCCTTGTTGCTGTGTCCCATCTCTGGAACATCTTGTCTCTGTCCACCTTGTTGATTCCTCGCAGTATTTTATTAGTCGTTATCATATCCTCCCTATCTCTCCTGTCCTCCAGTGTCGTCAGGTCGATCTCCCTTAATCTTTCCTCATAGGACATACCCCTTAGCTCTGGGACTAGTCTTTTTGCAAATCTTTGCACTTTCTCTAGCTTCCTTACATGCTTGGCTAGGTGTGGCTTCCAAACTGGTGCTGCATACTCCAATATGAGCCTGACGCACACATTGTACAGGGTCCTGAACAAGTCCTTATTAAGATGTTGGAATGCTGTTCTTAGGTTTGCTAGGCACCCATATGCTGCAGCAATTATTTAGTTGATGTGCACCTCCGGAGATGTGCCTGGTATTATACTCACCCCAAGATCCTTTTTCTTGAGTGAGGTTTGAAGTGCTGTGTACTCCAGCATGAGCCAGACGTACACAGTGTATAAAGTTTTGAACGATTCCTTACTGAGGTACCGGAACGTTATTATCAGGTTTGCCAGGCGCCCATATGCTGCAACAGTTATCTGGTTAATGTGTGCTTCTGGCAATGTACTTGGTATTATACTCACTCCTAGATCTTTCTCCTTGAGTGAGGTTTGCAGTCTTTGGCCTCCTAGCCTATACTCTGTCTTTGGTCTTCTTTGCCCTTCTCTGATCTTCATGACTGCATTTGGCAGGGCTAAATTCTAGGAACCAGTTGCTGGACCACGCATCCAGCCTGTCCAGGTCTCTTTGTAGACCTGTCTGGTCTGCATCTGATTTAATTCTCCTCATTAACTTCACATCATCTGCAAACAGGGACACTTCTGAGTCTATCCCCTCCGTCATGTCATTCACATGTACCAAGAACAGCACTGGTCCCAGGACTGATCCCTGTGGGACCTTGCTCATCACAGGCACCCACTGTGATACCTCATCATGGACCATGACTCGCTGTTGCCTCCCTGTTAGGTATTCTCTGATCCATTGCAGTGCCCTTCCTGTTATATGTGCCTGATCCTCTAGCTTCTGTACTAATCTCCTGTGAGGAACTTTGTCGAAGGCCTTCTTGCAGTCCAAGAAAATGCAATCAACCCATGCTCTCTTTCTCTCCTCAATGTGTACTCCTCTCAACTTACCAGATTCACTTTCTCCTAGTCTCATGGGTCCTGTTGCCTATTCTTAAAACTATTTCTTCATCAAGGTCATGTCACTTCCCAACCACCTTGAGACTAAAGAAATACTACCTGACACCTCAGCTGCATCTACTCTCATTGCCACCTCCCTAGTTAAGAACGATAATAAATTTGTTGAGTTAGGCATAAGAATTAACAAATGGGCATCAACACTGCAAACTGAAGTGTTTGCAATCTAAATGCTGCTAAAGTTAACCTATGACACTAAGCTTGACTCTATCATCATTACTGATTCTGTCATCATTGAAGACTCTTGACTCATATAATGACTCCAACATGCTCATTGGAGAAGCCAGGTATAGATACTCAAAAATCAGGGACAAAGTAATTAATGTACAATTGCTATGGATCCCATCACACATTGGATTACTCCTTCATGATAAAGTTGATATGTTAGCCAAGAAGAGTACCCAGAAGAAGAATGTAGAATATAACTTTGGTATATCTGTGTCTAGCATTAGGAATAATATTAGGAGAGAAGTAAATAATGAAAATGATTGTTATAGGAATGCAGTTAGAAGCCCGAGTAGATCTATAACCCACTATGATAACATGAACGTAGATAAGTATGTTTATGGAGCAACTTGCAATGTGAACAGACTGACTGATGTTGTAGTGGCCAGGCTTAGGCTTGGTTACAAGTACTTCTGGCAGTTTGGGAGACACACAGATGATGATCAAACTAAATGCAAATTATGTGATCAGGCATATGGTCACTGTCTTGAACACTATGTGCTTAATTGTACACTTATTGAGGAATACAGAGACGGACAGTATAATAACCTATGTGACATGTCAAGATATCTTATTAAATGAAAATAAGATACCAGATATACTAAGCAAATTTCCTAAACTTGCTTGTAACAGATAAGTGAACTGTAGATATGTACAGCGCTGTATAGCCCTTGTGGCTTAGCACTTCTTTTGATTATAATAATAATAATAATAATAATGTAAATATGTAGATATAAACCCATAGGTATGCCTGTTAACCCTTTTGGGGCCTAGTTCCTAGGCCTTTTGTATATCCGTATGCTCTTGTGCTACCGTCCACAGGATGGATATGGGGTGCACAATAAACTAGCCACTTCAGTGGCAAAATCTAATCCAAATACCTGTTTCCTACCTCTCAAACATTGTTTTCTGTATGTAAAACTAAAGTTATTCTCTATAAAATGTATTTTTTATTAATATTTTCAGGTGTATGGAACAGATTAATTGGATTTACATTATTTCTTATGGGAAATATTGCTTCAGTTTTTGTACAATTCAGTTTTCGACAGACTTTCTGGAACGAATTAATCACAAAATCCGAGGTTCCACTGTATCTATAATACTTTATTTCTACAGGTACATGTAAAACATATACATGCCTAGCTTACATTAAAGACATACTTCTATATAAAAACCTCCTTATTATGCAGTGTATTTTGGCCAAATTAGGTCAATTTTGTTCCCAGGATGCAACCCTCACCAACTATTAATCCTTGGTTACAAATAGGTCAGGTTAAGTAAGGACAGCAGGTGTCTTAAGGAAACAAGTGCTAAAGTGTCCACCCGTACTGGGGATCGAACCATGGGCCTCAGCATGTGAGCTGAGTGCTCTACCAATCAATCTACTGTCTACCTCTGAAGTAGGACAGCCCAAAGAAAGGAAACACATTTGCTATCATTCATCCAATCTTGTTGGCAGTAGGTCACAATTGTTAACAGAAAAAAATTACCTGGAGTTTACCTGGAGAGAGTTCCAGGGGTCAACGTCCCCGCAGCCCGGTCTGTGACCAGGCCTCGTGATGGATCAGGGCCTGATCAACCAGGCTGTTACTGCTGGCTGAATGCAATCCAACATATGAGCCACAGCCCGGCTGGTCAGGTACCGACTTTAGGTGCTTGTCCAGTGCCTGCTTGAAGACAGCCAGGGGTCTATTGGTAATCCCCCTTATGTATGCTGGGAGGCAGTTGAACAGTCTTGGGCCCCTGACACTTATTGCGCTGTCTCTTAACGTGCTAGTGACACCCCTGCTTTTCATTGGGGAGATGTTGCATCGTCTGCCGAGTCTTTTGCTTTCGTAGCGAGTGATTTTCGTGTGCACGTTTTGTACTAGTCCCTCTAGGATTTTCCAGGTGTATATAATCGTGTATCTCTCCCGCTTGCATTCCAGGGAGTACAGGTTCAGGAACTTCGACAAAAGAATAAAAAAAGACTCTTCTTTAATGAGAATGTAACACCTAAAACTTAATTGCTTCTGTAGCTAGAAATAGATTAGCACAAATAGGTAATTCTGCATTCTTTTAACCTTAAGCTGTCCAAACATAGATCTACGTTGACGTGCGTGGCATTCTGATCGTAGATCTACGTTTCTTAACATAAGAAAGCATGTAAAATTGGACGTAGATCTACGTCCAGAGCGCTACACACGTCAACGCAGAGCTACGTTTGGACAGTTTAAGGGTTAAGATGCCAAAATTTTATAGGGAGCTAAAAAATCTTAAAACAAATTGTTACAAATTATTTATTACAGAACTTTGTACATAAATTTTTAATACAGTACATGGCAATAAAAAAAATTACAGCACAATGCATGTTCATGATGTATAAGTGAAATTTACTTCATGTTACTACAGCAACAATCAAAGAATTAGATAAACTTTTGCTGTTATTAATATTTCATATCTACATAATAGGCTTTCATCAAAATTATTATGAAAATTTAAAAAAATATATCCTTTTATCATTTTAAATCTTTATAGCATACTGCATTATTCCATTTGCTGGGGAAGTGGAACAGAGTTCTTCCTCTGTAAGCCATGCGTGTCGTAAGAGGCGACTAAAATGCTGGGAGCAAGGGGCTAGTAACTCCTCCTCCTGTGTACATTACTGAAGTTAAATAGAGAAACTTTCATTTTTCTTTTTGGGCCACCCTGCTTCAGTGGGATATAGCCAATTTGTTGATAGAAGATTATGTAAAATTTTAATCTTATTTTTAATGAAATGGTAATCTGACCATATAAGAGAAAACAATTTTGCATGAATGCCAATCTATACTCCTGTTAACACAAATGTCACTGAAAACAAAATTTGGCACTTTACAACTACTTAAAATAGCATTCTGTGCAACTAAAGTTAATGTTAAATAATTCCAAACCAAAGAATGTCCTATAATCAAAACCAGTCACAGGCACACATCAGCTGGCCAAGTGTAGCCTAATGAAACAAATTTACATTTAAATTTACATTTAATATTAGTAAGACTTTTTATGCAGTGTTTGGGAATAAATAAAAAAAATACTGTATTCAACTAAACATAAGGTTTAATAATATACACATTGAAAGACAAGATGAGGGAAAATTCTTAGGTATAGTATACACCCTGACAGCAAACTAAAATTCAACACTCACATCCAGTATATATATCTAATAAAATTTCTATAAAAGTTGGCATTCTTTAAGAAATACATTATCATGTACTGTATCTCATACAAGATTATTCACTCTTATTTATCTCCCTATCCTTACCCCACTCATGGTACATATGCATAGGGATCTACAACAAAAGATCACCAAAAACCCACTGCAGCTCAACAGAAACCTGCTATTAAAATGATCAGTAATCAGGTTACAGACAACATATACCCATACTACTCTCAAAAGTTTAATTTACTGTACTCAACATACAAAACATCCATACTTGCTAATGAGTACCAAATAAGCAGAACAGTCGATACAAATTTTAACTGTCCTAAAGCTCATCTTAGAGAGCTGCAACAGAATGATACAAGTAAATCCCATGTGTTTAATGTTGCAGAAATAATACAGTGGTACCTCGGAATACGAACAGCACAAAACTCGAACAATTATGTAAGTGTATTTATGTAAGTGCTTTTGTAAGTGTATTTTTGGGGGTCTGAAATGGATTAATCTAATTTACATTATTCCTTATGGGAAAAAATTCGTTTGGTATCGGCATGAACAGCTGTCTGGAACGAATTAAGTGTGTATCCCGAGGTACCACTGTATATGTATAAATAAAAGGCCCCAAAATATGGAAAACACTACCAGAAGATTCTTGAAGTTCCTTATCGGCTGTTTCAAAATAGTTAAAAAAAAAAAAAAAAAACTACATTTGCTTTAAATTTATGTTTACCTGGAGAGAGTTCCGGGGGTCAACGCCCCCGCGGCCCGGTCTGTGATCAGGCCTCCTGGTGGATCAGAGCCTGATCAACCAGGCTGTTACTGCTGGCTGCACGCAAACCAACGTACGAGCCACAGCCCGGCTGATCAGGAACCGACTTTAGGTGCTTGTCCAGTGCCAGCTTGAAGACTGCCAGGGGTCTGTTGGTAATCCCCCTTATGTATGCTGGGAGGCAGTTGAACAGTCTCGGGCCCCTGACACTTATTGTATGGTCTCTTAACGTGCTAGTGACACCCCTGCTTTTCATTGGGGGGATGTTGCATCGTCTGCCAAGTCTTTTGCTTTCGTAGCGAGTGATTTTCGTGTGCAAGTTCGGTACTAGTCCCTCTAGGATTTCCCAGGTGTATATAATCATGTATCTCTCCCGCCTGCGTTCCAGGGAATACAGGTTCAGGAACCTCAAGCGCTCCCAGTAATTGAGGTGTTTTATCTCCGTTATGTGCGCCGTGAAGGTTCTCTGTACATTTTCTAGGTCAGCAATTTCACTTGCCTTGAAAGGTGCAGACTGAATATAAATATCAAATACATCTAATGCATTCAAAACCATGCATCTGTTATCCCTATTTTATTTTTCTAAAACTCTTAATAATTACATGTACTATAAAAGTAAAAGAAGGTCTTAGCAATGTGTGATGTCACAATGATTGTTTAACATATTTATGGATGGGGTCGTATAAGCAGTGAATACTAGTGTGTTGGGAAGAAAGGTGTAGGATTAAAAGACAGTGAATCTGATACAAAGTGTGAGTTATCACTGATGCTCTTTACCTATTGCACAGATTTTAGGGAAATTCTGAAGAGAAGCTTCAAAGGTTGGTGGATCAATTTGAAAGGGTGATATAAAAGAAGGAAATTAAAAGTGAACATAAAAAGGAGCAAGGTGATGAGAGTAACAAAAACTACAAGCAATCTGAGACTGGATATCAGAGTGGAGGGAGTGTGAAAGCAGCAAATGTATATAGATATATGGGAGTAGACATATGGCAGACTGATTTTTGAAAGAAGAGGTAAAGCATAGAATAGACATGGGGAAAAAAAAAGGTAGATACCTGTTGAAAAAAAAAGTTTATCTATGTTGAAAAAAAAAAACCTGAAATACCCACACTTTTATATGGGTGTGAGGCATAAACTTTAAATGATGCAGCAAGGAGGAGGCTGGAGGCAGAGATGTCATGTTTAAGAGTAATGTGTGGTGTGAATGTTATGAATAGATTTTGATGCACAATACGACACCCATATCGGAGGGTTCGGTTATCTGCTGTTCACGGTGGCCCAAAAATATTAAAAGGGGAGCAGAATTTTACTAAGAAAATTTTAACAAGGTGGTATAAAGTGCATACTAGAAGATTCATGAAGGTTGCCCAAAAATAAGAATAGAATAAAATAAAATAATGATACGTATTTGATATGGCAACACCTTGGTAAAATTTGTGACAGATTGTTAATGTTTAGGATGTTATAGTTGACTTTACATAAACAAGGGTAAAGACAAACTGTTAGAAGGAATTGGACAATATATCATTATTTTGTATAATCAAAAATTCTTAATTTTTTGGGGAGTGTTTTAAAATAAATAAAAAATCAGTAAAGGCCATTACAAATTCCCTTCATGAGATTGTAAAAAAGCATGATTCCTTCCTTTCCTCAATCTCTCCTTAGTATAAAACACTGATTTTCCACCACTTCTACTCCTCTTTGCATCCCTTCCTAACTGGTCAACTGCCTAACACAATGTCACAATGCCTACACCATCACATCACTTCTTCTCATCATAGGCATTGTATCATCATCATATCACAGTGACAATAAAGAAGTGATAAGCCACTGAGTACCCACAATAGGCTAAGAAATATTTTAATTAAGGGGGAGGTAGTTGAGCTAGGATGGGTGGGTATGAAAACCATTGAAAATACAGTGGACCCCCGGTTAACGAACTTTTTTCATTCCAGTAGTATGTTCAGGTGCCAGTACTGACCGAATTTGTTCCCATAAGGAATATTGTGAAGTAGATTAGTCTATTTCAGACCCCCAAACATACACGTACAAACGCACTTACATAAATACACTTACATAATTGGTCGCATTTGGAGGTGATCGTTAAGCGGGGGTCCACTGTATTTGGAAAATGAGTTCATTGCACTGCTGACCTTGCCACTTGCAGGGCAGTTGCTGCTGCTTACACTCAAGCTGTATCCCTTCAGGGTGGGGAATTTTATAGTCTACAGGTGACGCTACTCTTCCACGATGTCATATCATGTGAAGATCAAACCTAAAAGTTCCGTGGCAAATGATGCTTTCAAACCTGCACTTGCAGCTGCCCTTAAAAGCAGCCTGCAGGTCAAGTCCTTTGGCACTGTGTCCCTCAAAGATGCCTTCCTAGTCACCTGTACCTGTAAGAAGAGGCCAAAAAATCCTGACCCCTACTGCTATCAAGACTCAACCATCATGGCATTGTAATTTCCAATTCTCCTTACTTGAAGGTGAAATGTTCTGTCTGCGTGAAATTACTTGACAGGGTTATCACAGACCTCTCTAACGAAGAACTCAAGTCATCCATTGAGGACCAGGATGTTTGGGCCCTTGTGGACATCATCACGAAGATACCCAACACCTCCTCTATGCTTAAGGTCAACTTTATGGACATTGCTATGGCTGTCCAAGCTCTATCTGACAGACTGGACATTTCCTACTACTTTGTACACCCTAGCCACATCGAGCCTGAATGCTTTAAATATCTCTCTTCCAGCTGGACCTGTTATTCCTACAAGAAATAACAGGTCCAAGGAATATTATTATTATTATAATCAAAAAGAAGCGCTAAGCCATAAGGGCTGGTCCAAGGAATAACCACCAAGGACTGCCACATCAAGGACAAGAAAATCTGTTTTACTTATGTGAACAATGGACATGACCACAGATCTGGCACCACCACTACTGCTCCTATTTGTCTTAACTGCAAGAGTAATCACCATACTCTTGCAGCTAAATGTCCGGTAAGAAAGGAAATCTTGTCCAAGAAGATCAAAGAAGACCTGAAGAAGACAACTTTTAACTCTCCAACATATGTTGCTAAGTGAAACTACAGACTGATACCACCAAGATCCTCCAGGCCACACAACAGACACCTCCATCCAGCAACCCATTCTCTTCACTTCCTGACGGTGCTCACTCAAAAGAAGGGTTGTTGAGGTGCTTCGGGTATTTAGAGGATGGAACAGGACAGGATGAAGAAAAGGTTTTATAAATCTGGAGTGGAAGGGATGGAGGGAGGGCAACAAGGAGGTATTGAGTATTAGTGACTTTTGAATCCACAGACTTATGTGATATGTTAGATGGGAGTGAATGGAGACATGTGGTATTCATGCCTTGACATGCTATTGAAGTATAAGCATAATAACATTTATGAAGAGATTCAAGGAAACTGGTGAGCTGGACAAGAGTCCTGGAAATGGAAAGGCCAGGATAGTGCTTACACTTTAAATGTGGGGAAGGGATGCTGCATTTTGGAGGGTTATTTAAATTATGTTGTCTGCACACTTCTGGAAAGGCAGCCATTAAATGGGGTGATGGTGAATGTGTTTTTTCGGATCAACCTACCTCAGCTGAAGATGGCTGGCGTGTTAAAAAAAATTAAAACTAAAACTGTCAGGTTTGTATTACTGTCTTTTCATATTGCCTTTACTGTTTTAAAAATACAGTACTGTAATAGTTTTGTTACTAAAAATCCTCTGGAGGGAGGCTCCTTAAAACCAGTGAGTCTTCTGAGCTAAGGACATCAACTTGGCTTTTCTCTTATTGGACTAAACTTGACTTCCACCTATTTCCTAGACATTATGACTCCGGGTTTATTGTTACTTGCTTATTAAAATAAGTGTCCTGTAGCTTGATCGCAAGCACACTCGGCTCACACACTGAGGTTCGGAGTTCGAATTCCCAATACGGCTGAAAAACATTAGGATGTTTCCATAAGACACCTGCTGTCCATGTTCACCCATCAGTATAAAATGGGTACCTGGGTGTTGGTCGATTGGTGTGGGTCACATCCTGGGACGAAATTGACCTAATTTGCCCGAATTGCTCTGCATAACAAGCGGCTTTCTACACAGTATGTCAATGATGTTGGCTAGGCCTGTATACCTTGTACATGTACTTGTAGAAATAAAGAAATTATTAAATTATTAAAATTAATAAAAATGAAATGTTACCTAACATAAAGATTATATTTAATACCTTTTCTTCAGATAACTAAATTACATTAAACTAAGCATTCAAATAATTTAACTTCAACTATACAATGCAAGTGGTTTTAAGTCCTAGTTATAGTCAACCCAAAATGCTCTGCATACTGTACACTTGTGTTTAGTGTTCTCTTAGGAAAGTACGTACTATACCTGGAGGGTGTTCTGGGGGGTCAATGCCCCCATGGCCCAGTCCATGACCAGGCCTCACAGTGGATCAGGGCCTGATCAACCAGGCTGTTACTGCCAGTCACATGTAATCCAATGTATGAACTGCAGGCCAGCTGGTCAGGTACTGATTTTAGGTGTCTGTACAACTCCTTCTTGAAGACAGACAGGGGTCTATTGGTAATGACTCTTATGTATGCTGGGAGGTAGTTGAACAGTCTTGGGCCCCACACTCTTAATGTGTAATCTTTCAGTGTACTCATAGCACCCCTGCTTTTCATTGGGGGTAATGTTGCACTGCCTGCCGAGTCTTGCTTTCACTGCACAAAGCTTGTTACATCACTATGGCCATAACACTTACGTCAGGGTTTTTTAACGGAGTATCCATACCCCTTGGAGGTATGAGAACCAAATAATAGTGGTATAGGACTCAATCCGTGAACAAGTGTAAATAAAAGTTGTTGTTAAATTATTTAGCTATCTATATATAAAGTAAAACCAAGCTATTGACTTCCTTTGAAGTTATACTGGTACCTAATAGAACCGGTGGCGATGATGATGAAATTTTGAGAGTCTGTCGAAGGGGGTATGGGGACATATTAGGCAAACCACTGGAGGTCTACAACCACAAAAATGTTAGGAACCCGATTTGGATGATTAATGCCATGGGAAAAATACCCCTCCTCATTTTTTAAATTATTTCTTTTTTTTTTTTTACATATGGATATATTTAAATCAGGTATACAACACTGCAGCAATACAATGTTTAAATGTTTAACGTTAAACAGTATAGTGGTAAGAACAACTGTATGTGTAGCCTACTCCCATGTAGAACTTTTATACTCCGATGTGCTTATACATAGTATTATTAAAACCTACTTATGGTATATTACTGAAAAGTACTTGTATTTCTACAGTAATATTAAAACCAAATATTAAATTTAATTACCGTATACCTACAGGGATTCATTACTCAACCATCTCCAACAATGACTATCTTTTTATTTGGTTGTTCTAGTGTAGTATTGTTACTCATCGTGTATGCACCTCCAATACACTGTTCTGCATTTTTATAATGTACATACTTTAGTTAAATCTTTTGTTTTTCTTTTTAGGTCACCCTGCCTTGGTGGGATATGGCTGGTTTGATGAAAAAAAAATCCTTAGTCAAATTATTTTCTCAAGTCTACCATGATTTACCACCTTGCTATTTATAAACTTTCACTTTCAAGTTCTAGCAGGCTTTTCTATTACTGCCAAAATTAATTTACTGACATGACTTATTAACCCTTCCAGGGTCCAGAGGTCAAATTTCAAAGTGCGCACCAGGGCCCAAGAATTAAAAAAAAATTTTTTTTGTTATTTTTTCTTTTTCTGAAGGTAATAAAATAAAAAGCACGAAATGTGATGGAAAATTGATGAAATTATGCTCTCACGAATTTTGATGTCTCAGCAATATTTACGCACTGGCGATTTTGCCGACTTTCGACTCCCATTTTAGGCCAATTACATTATTCCAGTTGACCAAATTCTTAGCTATTTCACTAGTATTACTTCTATTCTATCGATTGAGCACAAGAATTCGCCAAGTCAACTGTTCCAACTACAAAATAGTGATCGGAATTTGGTAATTTGGCTAATTTAATGCAGAGTTCAAAATACAGTGGACCCCCGCTTAACGATCACCTCCCAATGCGACCAATTATGTAAGTGTATTTATGTAAGTGTGCTTGTACGTGTATGTTTGGGGGTCTGAAATGGACTAATCTACTTCACAATATTCCTTATGGGAACAAATTCGGTCAGTACTGGCACCTGAACATACTTCTGGAATGAAAAAATATCGTTAACCGGGGGTCTACTGTATTCCAGTTTCAAAATAGGGTCCAGAATAAACAATGCAGGCATTCCTGGCACTAAACTAACATTTCCTCTGTTCATTAGTTATGCTTTCAGGCTTTACAAATGAATTCCATTTTGATTTTTTATTCACATAATAAATTTTTATTCAAACCAAAAAATAAAAGTGTTACTGTAATGCAATATCGTAATAATTGTATAAATAATATCACCATATTTGTGAACATATATTAGACCCAACAGCTGGAGTGGATTAGACGTGTGAGGTCATTTGTTAACTCTTGAACATTGGCAAAACTTTAACATTTCCATTACTCTGAGCTCAGTTTCAAGCCATTTTCATTACTATAACCAATCAAAATCATCTCTATTTCTGTAATATATCTTCCATTCTATCAAATGAGAACAAGAAATCGCAAATAAACTATAAAAACATACGAAAAAACGCTGCAGTCGCTGTTTTAATCGAAAATTACGGTCTCAGTTATTTTTCTCTCATTATGCACTGTGTGCTGCAGGATTTGTTTTATGTGATGCACACATACCACATAGATGTATTCTCTCATATCTAGGCCCAAATTTACCGCTCACAGCTTATCAGAGTGAGCTGAGCTCATGCCGTAGATCTACAGTTTGGACCCTCAACTCAAAGCCGTAGAACTATGGCACGGACCCTGAAAGGGTTAAAATACAATTAATAATATATAGTCTGAGTAATACTTCACACAGCCAAATAGCAAGATGAATTACTGGTAACACAGTAAGGTTATAAATATATACATAAATGGCACAACACATTGAACAATTAATTGTAGACAAAATTGTAGACTAAATGAATTTTTTCTAACATTGTAAATTATAAAAATTAAATTCTTTAATTTTGTTGATATCTATAAATATGTATTTTTATTTATTTGTTTTGTATAGAGAAAAATAGTGTCCCTGCTTCTCAATGAGTTGTTGATGTGTTCCAGCTTCCACCACTTGGCCTCCTTGAACCACTGCAATAGTGTTAGCATTCTGGATGGTTGACAAGCGATGGGCAATGACAATACTAGTGCGGCCCTTCTGGGCATGCTCTAAGGCTTCCTGGACAACCTGGAATAAAAAGAATATCAAATCTATGATGGATGACTGAAACTAGCTGCCACCATCTGTAACTTATTTGAGCTATTTATAATCTTATTCATTTACCAATTCCTTATGTAAAAGTAATGCCTGACATAGTCTGCCCAATGGAAAAGTGTAGTAATTATAAAAACAGTCTTCTAAAAGAAAAAAAATGGCAAAAAATTGAACACTTACCTTCTCGCTTTCAGTGTCCAAAGCAGAGGTAGCTTCATCAAGCAACAGCACAGTTGGGTTTCTTACCAGTGCTCGTGCTATAGCAATCCGTTGCTTCTGACCACCAGATAACTGGGTTCCCTTTGCACCAACTCTTGTGTTATAACCCTAAAATATATAGTACATACTGTATATCTCTTCATTTACTGCTATATCCAATAAGCTTCATTCTGTATTATGTATCTAAGAAGTACAGTACTATAATTTTTTCCTGAATGAAATGTCATCTAAAATAAAGACTTGGTCTTTCTTACACATCTCTCTCAGCATGGCCAACATGACAGGGCATGTGGCAGGCTAGCTGTGGGATTTTCAAGGATAGCGTCTGATCAAAGAAGCTGACCAAGTCACGAATGAACAGGACTCGGTGTGAATGCTTTGGGAAGATTCCAGAGCAGTGAGAGGACATCCCAATGCATCGTTTCAGTGTAAATAGTGGAAGTGTTGTGCAGTTTGTGAGGGTTGGGTGTGATGTTGAGAGTGTCCAGGTCAGGACCAGTCAGTGCCGCCTCCTCCTCTATGCCGCCAGGGGGGGAGGGGGTGGGGTGTGTGGGTGAACATGAAGGGAACACTGGTTTTGGGGAGTCACATGCCCATATCTTTCATGATGTGCATAGGAAACAAATAAATGTGTTTGTTATAGGCAGGACAATGTGAACAACAGTGCACAATCAGTGTGTAGGGAAGTGCCCCTCACCCCCCTCCCCAGGCTTGCCCAGTGTGTAGTAAACAGTGACCCTCTCATAACCCCTCTCCCCTGCGCCTCAACCATTCAACTCCCCCGCCTCATCCACCCAACTCCTAGCACCACCCCAACTGTAGAGGGTACTTTTCCCCTCCCAGCCCACAATGTCAGCGATGGCACAGGGTGTGTCAGGCTCATGGGAACAACCACTGCTGGGACAGCGCCGTGGAGTTCGACCATGAGGCAACTGTCAGGTGTGCCACAGACAGTGTGCACTCAGTTCCTCAAGCTTCAACATTCGTGCACACGGTGGATATCTGGGCACCCAGAGGGCTCCAGGTGGGAACAGTCCCTCCCAGCAGACAGAGGTGACAGCAGCCGCGCCTTCACCTTTATAGAGGGCCTGGGATCTGCAATCAAATTGGCGTCCACCAGGACATTGACATGTCCCCAGGGCAGCTCTCCCTCGGGCTGCTAGCGGAGTCGCTGACTTCTTGGATCTCTTGGGGAGGGTCGATGGTGCTCCTGCAAGCAGAAGATCCTGGCACAACCTGCTGCTGTTTGCAATGGCTGTCTGACTGTCCTGTCGAGGAGGGACAGGCACCTAGCAACATCTGTTGTTGGGGCCATGGATGCATTCTCTAGAATGTTTTTTAATTACTCATTACTCTGTAATTTGTTCATGATTGTAACCATTTATGGACGTGTTTATGATTCGTTACTTTTGTAACTTGTCATGATTGTGACCAGCTCTACCTGGAGCTCATTACCTTTGTAACTTGTTCAGCGATCAAAACTTTGGAGTCCAGTCCCTCGACCAATTATGTACCTCTGTAATCTTTTGACAACCGCCCACAGGATGGGTATGGGGTGCATAATAAAGATATTAAACTAAACTCTTTCTTACATGTTGTTATATCCACTAGAAGCTTGTATAAATTAAATTGTGTAAAACATTAAAGTTATACTGACAATCAAACAGTCTTAAGATATATGACTAGGGAAATGTTATAAAAAGCTCTTTAAAATGTATTTTAGGTTAAAACTGAAATATGAGGCAGTGATGTGGTATCTGCACCAAAAGAACATTGTGGACATCCTAGAAAAGTTCAGACAAACTATGAAATAGGAAGGCCTTTGCTTCTTTACTGTGTTTGGCAGTATGTCATATGGATCAACTTTCCAATCCTTTTCCCACAAGAGGTAACCATGCCAATCACCAAAGGAAGAAGGAAATAAGGTTCCCATGATAATCACATGTAAGACAATAAAAAGATAAGAAAGAAAAGATGATAATTTCCTAGCACTATCAACATTTGTAAACACAGGAGTCATACCCAAAAGGATAAAGAAAACATTATTGTATAGAGTGGTTGACCAATGGCATGAGATAAAAAAGTAGCAAGTGACAATAATTGCAAATCGAAAAAAAAAAAATTAAATTAAATACTGAAGACTGGACACCAAAAGCAAGGTTCTTAAAAGTACAAATACCTGGCAAGTAATTATAAATGTTAATTGTAACTCCCTTCCCTCAATGCAGTGCGACACACACTTTGGTGTTCAATTTACTTCATGTATAAAGTTTGTCCTTATGTGGTGTTTTAAGTCATCTTTCTTGACAGTCCCTGTCAAATGTTCCCCCTATAAGTATCACTCACTGATGCCATACTAAAGACTTCCTTTGTCAAAATTGATTTAGTATTACTAAAGAATAAAATTTCCAATTGTAATTACATATCTATAATTTATTGTAGCATTAATTAATATCATAAAAATTAAAAAATAAACTTACATTTGGTAGAGACTCAATAAATGAATGAATGTTGGCTTGTCTGGCGGCATCAACAATTTCATTGTGTCCAATTTCCCGACTATTGTCGCCATATGCAATATTCTCGGCAATTGTAAGATCAAAGAGCACAGGTTCCTGAGATACCAGACCAAGCTGGTTTCTTACCCAGCCAACATTCAGGGCTTGTATGTCCTCACCACTAATATACTGCACATAAGAAAATGAATATTACAATTACTGAAGAAAGGTATGGTGATACTGACAAGATGTGGAAGACACTTATGTAAATATCCTGAGCTGTACATAAAGTGTCTTTTTTCCACAATATAATTATCAAAATTTCTTATGAAAAATATGTATCTTAATACTGTATCTTTACTGAAAGAAAAATTAACACTTGTAATATGAAGAAAATACTGTACTGGAGTAAAAGCTTTTATCAGAGGGTAAATGAAGCAAACATTTTCAAGGAACTATGTAGCATCTCATTGCCACAGTGGTAATGAGTATTAAAAAATGCTGTACCTCTATTTACATTTTTTTTTTTTTTTTTTTTCAACAAGTCGGTCGTAGAATAAAATTAAGACAATATTATACTGAAAAAAACTTACTTCCTAGCTTGTGTAGCTTATTGGTTAGTACTCCATTTAAAACTAAAAGGACCCAGGTTCAACTCTGGTATGGAAAAGTTTCCTTACACCTGTTGCCCCAGGTCACCTTGCAGTAAATAGATACTGCACTCAAAGTGTTAGTTGATGCAAGTTACACTACAAGAAAGGACCTCACTGGAAATAATGCAAACCACTTTGCTTTCTTGGGTTATCCTGGGTTAATAAAGCTCAGAATGTCTTTTTTTCCTCACAATAAAAGTGCTGAAAGCAATGACAAAATTTTCCATACATCTGCACTTTCTTTATGCAAATAAATAAGTTTTTCCCTTCAGAAAAAACAACTCAGTATGTAGAATTGTGTATTTCTCAAGCATTCCTTAAAATTTTTAAATACATAAAGTTCTTTGAAATTACTAAAATTTTAAATGTGGCAACTCAATCAAGGATGGGCAGTTTGCAAATATAAAAAGACATTAACAAAACTTGGTCAAAATAAGATACTTACAACTTTTCCTTTTTTTGCATCATAAAACCTCTCCAATAAGCTAATGATGGTAGATTTGCCACACCCTGAGCTTCCCACCAGGGCTAAAGTTTGTCCACGTTCTACTTTAACATCCATCCCTGTCAATATGGGTATATCAGGTCTTGTCGGGTAAGAGAAATGCACGCCACGTAGCTCAATGTTTGTTACAGGACCACTCTGGGGGAAAGAAAAATAGTTGAATAAGGATAAAATCTCAAAACTAAATCAACTATGGTGATTGCTGGCATGAAAAAATTATAGTAATGAAGAAGAGTTGGGCAGTGTTGCAGAACTAGGATGAGGTGTTATTATTACTGTTTAATTTTTTTAACACACTAGCCATCTCTCACTGAGGCAGGGTGACCAGAGAAAGAAAAACTTTTGCCATCATTCATTCACACTATCACTGTTTTGCCAGAGGAGCCAAGATACGACTGTTTAGATGTCCCTCTCAACAGCAAATATCCCAAACCCCTCCTTTAGAGTGCAGGCACTGTACTTCCCACCTCCAGGACTCAAGTTCTTGGGAAATGCCAAACCTGTTGAATGGCAGAAAATCAGGTTTTATCCATTGGGGGGAAAGGGGGGGTAGTTCAATAACTTGGATCAAGAGACCTTCACCAGAATAGAGGAACCTCCCCTTGAAGGGAATGAGGTGGTACTCATGCAGGACAGTACATGACTATCATAAGAGGGCATGTTGCCAAAATACAGATACAGTGGTACTAGTGTATTAATAACAATTATAAATGCTCTTTATCATAGTCCTCTTTCCTTGGGTAGTTCCTGGACTAGGATTTTATGTCTTCCATGACTCCTTGTAAAGGAAGATATTTTCCATCTATATACTCTAGCTTCTGAAAAAATAAAATCAGTGCGTATAATCAAATTTAAAAACTATATTGTATCAGACATTAAAATCTATTTTGTTGTGCTCAGAAGTATCACTAATTTTATATTCCAGCCCAAACATTGCCAAGGAGCTTCTTCTATCACATTTAATACAAAGTGCCTGGTGCATAAGGTTACTTTATAAAACAGTACAATAGATACCAGAGAGATTACCCTGTTCACAACACACCAGGGGATCACATTGTTTAAAGAAGTAGCCAGGAGATTACATTGTTTACAGCAGTCACCAGAGTGATTACTCTGCTCATGGCCCCTTGCAGAGTAATTTTGATCATGATATCCATGCACTTCTGGCAATACTGTATATCTACTGAAAGGGTGGTGGTGAATGTTTTCTACTCTGGGGTCAACTACCTTGAGGAGAAACTAACTACCAGTGTCATAAAAAAAATTGCATATGTAAACATCCCCACATATGAGAGTTAATGAGTCTCAACACAAATGAGGACTGCCTTATATCAGTACCTTTAGACATGCAAGCCCAATGCCCATGAGTACAGTGAGGTCTATATTTGAGTCCCTAGGCAGCTGTGAAATTTAGCATCAACTGATTGAGCAAGTCAGCATTCCCAAGAAACTGGCATATTTACCAAATTATTTACAAGCTAGCATGGCCACAATTTCAAGATGCCGGTTTTTAGTGTTTACTGGAATAAAAAATTGAACCCATTAAGTGTTACTCACACCAAGAGAGGTTGACCCACAGGAGAATACATATTCACTGCCACTCATTCAATAAGTATCTTGCCAGGACTGTACAGATATCACAGTTCTTCTTTGAAACTGCAACATACCTATCCTTCAAATAGTGATGCAGTGTCCAAAAGTTATATACTTAAAATTGTGACATACCCATTTTTGTGCTCTCTCAGAAATACAACAGAATACCATCAATTATCATTCATATCTTATCAGCCCACTACAGCTGGTGACCTGAAGTTATGTTTGTACATATTACACTCCAGATGTGCCTCGTATTACATACAGTTACCTTTGAAACTAGTTAATAATGCATTTTCATTTATTTGGCTACTAATTTTACTAATAAATTCTAACATTCATCAGGTGATTTTGAAATTTCTCATGACTCTTTCAATTACTTACCAACATAATTTTTTTTTTCAACAAGTCAGCCATCTCCCACTGAGGCAGGGTGACCCAAAAAGAAAGAAAATCTCCAAAAAGGAAATACTTTCATCATCATTCAACACTTTCATACATAATCACTGTCTTTGCAGAGGCACTCAGATACAACAGTTTAGAAGTCCCTCCAAACTTTCAATATCCCAAACCCCTCCTTTAACCCTTTCAGTGTTTCGGCCGTACTAGTAAGGCTTACGCACCAGGGTTTTTGACGTACTAGTACACCTAAATTCAAGCGCCCTCAAATCTAGTGAGAGAAAGCTGGTTGGCCTACATATGAAAGAATGGGTCTATGTGGTCAGTGTGCGCAGTATAAGAAAAATCCTGCAGCACACAGTGTGTAATGAGAAAAAAAAAAAAACTTTGACTGTGTTTTTGGATTAAAAGAGTGACTTTGCACTGTATTTTCGTATGGTATTTATTGTTGTATTCTAGTTTTCCTGGTCTTCTTTTATAGAATGGAAGACATATTACAGAAATTGAAATGATTTTGACTGGTTTTGCAATGAAAAGTACCTTGAAATTGAGCTCAAAGTAGCAGAAATGTTAAATTTTTCCAAAGTTCAAAAGTAAACAAATCATGCCAAGCATCCAATACACGTCAACTGGTGAGTCTAATATTCTTTCACAAGTGCACTGATATTATTTATACCATTTCTACACTAATGCAGTAGTCTGCATAACAGTAAATCTTCCATTTTTTGTAAGAATAAAAGTTCAAAGTGGAAAGCCAAAAGAAATATAAGAGGGGCCTGGGGATGTGACTAACGAACAGAGAACTTGTTATTTTAGTGCCAGGAATGTCTTTCTTGTTTATTCTGGACCCTATTCGGAAACTGGCATCTTTTGAAATTTGTGTGAAATTGGCAAAATTGCTAAATTCTGACCACTTTAATGGATAGTTGAAATCGGTAAATGGGTGGTTTCTTGTACTCATTCGATAGAAAAAAATGGAGTTCTAGCAAAATAGTTATTATGATTTTTGTCGACTAGTACACTGGAATTGGCCGAAAATAGGGTTCAAAGTCGGCAAAATCGCCAATGCACAAACATCGTCGAGACTGCTAACTTCACGAGAGCATAATTCCGTAAGTTTTCCATCAAATTTCATACTTTTGGTGTCATTATGATCGGGAAAAAGATACTCTATCTTTTCATCAGAAAAAATAATTTTTTTTTTTTTTTTGAAAATCTGGCGACCCTGAGAACAGGTCTCTAAGAGGGCCTGGGGGCCCTGAAATGGTTAAAATGCAGGCATTGAACTTCCATTTCCAGGACTCAAGTCTGGCTAACTGGTTTCCCTAAATCCCTTCACTAAATATTACCCTGCTCACACTCCAACAGCTCGTCAGGTCCCAAAAACCATTTGTCTCCATTCACTTCTATCTAACATGCTCTCACACACTTGCTGGAAGTCCAGGCCCCTCGCTCACAAAACCTCCTTTACCCCCCTCCCTCCAACCTTTTTGAGGACAACCCCTACCACTCCTTCCTTTCCCTACAGATTTATGCGCTCTCCAAGTCATGCTACTTTGATCCATTCTCTCTACATGACCAAACCACCTCAACAACCCCTCTTCAGCCCTCTGACTAGTACTTTTAGTAACTCCACACCTCCTCCTAATTTCCACACTTCAAATTTTCTGCATAATATTTACACCACACATTGCCCTTAGACAGGACATCTCCACTACCTCCAGCCACCTCCTTGCTGCAGCATTTACAACCCAAGCTTCACACCCACGTAAGAGTGTTGGTATGACTATACTTTCATACATTCCCTTCTTTGCCTCCATATATAATGTTTTTTGTTTCCATAGATACCTCAATGCACCATTCACTTTTTGGCCTTTATCAGTTCTATGGTTAGCCTCATCCTTCATAAACCCATTTGCTGACAAGTCAACTCCCAAATATCTGAAAACATTCACTTTCATACTCCCTCTCTCCAATGTGATATCCAATTTTTCATTATCTAAATAATTTGATACCCTCATCACCTTACTCTTATCTATGATCACTTTCAACTTTCTACCTTTACACACCCTCCCAAACTCGTCCACTAACCTTTGCAACTTTTCTTTAGAATCTCCCATAAGCACAGTATCATCAAAATGCAACTGTGTCAACTCCCATTTTGTACTTGATTCCCCATAATTTAATCCCACCCCTCTCCCCAACACCCTAGCATTTACTTCTTTTACAACCTCATCTATAAATACATTAAACAACCATGGTGACATTACACATCCCAGTCTAAGACCTACTTTTACTGGGAAGTAATCTCCCTCTCTGCTACATATCCTAACCTTAGCCTCACTAGCCTCATAAAACTCTTTACAGCCTTTAGTAACTTACTACCTATTCCATATACTTGCAACATCTGCCACATTGCTCCCCTATCCACTATCATATGCTTTTCTAAATCCATAAATGCAATGAAAACTTCCCTACCTTTTATCTAAATACTGTTCACATACATGCTTCAATGTAAATGCTTGATCTACACATCCCCTATTCATTCTAAAGCCTCCTTGCTCATCTGCAATCCTACTCTCTGTCTTACCTCTAATTCTTTCAGTAATAGCCCTACTGTACACTTTACCTGGTATACTCAGTAAACTTATTCCCTTATACTTTTTACAATCTCTTTTGTCCCCCTTCCCTTTATGTAAAGGAACTATACATGCTCTCTGCCAATCGCTAGGTACCTTCCCCTCTTTCATACATTTATTAAAGAAAAATACCAACCAATCCAACAATATCCTCCCTGTGCTTTTAACATTTCTGTCATGATCCTGTCAGTTCCAGCTGCTTTACCCCCTTTCATTCTATGTAATGCCTCATGCACCTCCCCACACTCACATCCTGCTCTTCTTCACTCCTAAAAGATGTTATACCTCCTTGACCAGTGCATGAAATTACCGCCTCCCTTTCTTCATCAACATTTAAAAGTTCCTTAAAATATTCCCGCCATCTACCCAATACCTCCAGCTCCCCATCTACTAACTCCCCTACTCTGTTTTTAACTGACAAATCCATTCGTTCCCTAGGCTTTCTTAACTTGTTTATCTCACTCCAAAATTTTTTCATATTTTTCATTAAAATTTCTTGATAGTGCCTCTCCCACTCTTTCATCTGATCTCCTTTTCCACTCTCTCACCACTCCGTTCACCTTTCTCTTACTCTCCATATTCTCTGCTCTTCTTACAACACTTCTGCTTTGTAAAAACCTCTCATGAGCTACTTTTTTTCTCTTTTATCACACCCTTTACTTCATCATTCCACCAATCACTCTTCTTTCCTCCTGCACCTACCCTCCTATAACCACAAACTTCTGCCCCCACATTCTAATACTGCATACTTAAAACTATCCCAACCCTCATATACAGTATTAATAATGATTCAGAATTAAAATGAATCAACACTATGACAAAGAATTATTATCAAGTACAAGATTTTGGACTTTCTTGTTAATAGTTTACTTCAACTATGTACATTACTTTTTCTTATGAGATTTACTACTTGAAAAATTACAGCTGCTCTTTTTACTCACAAGCTTCAGACCAACTCCTGGAGATGAAGATATTGCAGAACGGCGTTCAAGCAATTTAAATATATGAGAAGCTGCAACTTTTGCTTTGCTGAAATTTGGAGCAAATGCTACTGCTTGCCCCACCATCATTGTGCCAAGAATGAGAGCCTCTGCTACCCTAAGAACATTTAGGAATGTGAGAATCACATTACATATATACCATGAGTACAGTACTTGAACCAGTGGGTTGTACTCTTGCACCATTCAGTACATGGTAAAATAGATGAGGATTAATAACAAACATGTATATGTAGTAAGGTACAGCAATTCTTAAATGAATAATTAAAGAGTATCTTATTCCCTATGTTATACACTGAACTGCCAATAAAGCTAAAAAGTGCAAACAAGGAAGAAAATATTTTTTCTAGAGTAAATGAACAGAACCAACCTAACAAATGGTTCATCATGGCAATAATGAGATATTATTTGAAAACAAAATCAACTAATAAAAAAGAAAATCAGAGTGATGAGCAAATTAAACAAATAAAAATGGATATACGTACATTTATATATTTTTTTTTTTCAACAAGTCGGCCATCTCCCACCAAGGCAGGGTGACCCAAAAAAGAAAAAACACTTCGCCATCATTCAACACTTTCACTATCATTTACACATAATCACTGTCTTTGCAGAGGCACTCAGATATGACAGTTTAAATATCACTCCCAAACCCCTCCTTTAAAGTGCAGGCATTGTACTTCCCACCTCCAGGACTCAAGTCCAGCAAACTGGTTTTCCCTGCATCCCTTCACAAAATATTACCTTGCTCACAATCCAACAGCTTGTCAGGTCCCAAAAACCATTCATCTCCATTCACTCCTATCTGATACACTCACACATGCCTGCTGCATGTCTAAGCCCCTTGCACACAAAACCTCTTTTAACTCCTCCCTTCATCCTTTCCTAGGACGGCCCCTACCCCTCCTCCCCTCCACTACAGATGTATACACACTCCAAGTCATCCAATTTTGTTCCATCCTTCGAAAAGGATGGAGCAACAGCCTCTCTTTAGCCCTCCTAATTTCCACACTACAAATTTTCTGCATAATATTTATGCCACACACTACCATCAGATATGACATCTCCACTGCCTCCAGCCACCTTCTTGCTGCAGCATTTACAACCCATATTTCACACCCATATAAGAGTGTTGGTATCACTATACTCTCACACATTCCCTTCTTTGTATCCATGGCTAACATTTTTTTTTTGTCTCCACAGATACCTCAATGCACCACCCACATTTTTTCCTTCATCAATTCTATGGTTAACATCATGCTTCTAAAACCTATCCACTGACATGTCTACTCCCAAATATCCAAACACATTCACTTCTTCCATATATACTGTATATGTGGACAGACAAACTGTGATAGCTATAATAAAACATTTAAAGCATAAGCAAGAGAAAACTCACTTGAAGACATTTTCATATGAAATTTCTTTGATATTGACCAAATAACCACCATAAAACATGGCTACAGCATAAGCATAGAAGGGTATAGCTTGAGCAAATCCAAAAGCAGCACCTAGGGAAAAAATACAGGTTAGGTTATAATAAAAAAAATTATGGTGTTTCAAGTTTTTCTTTTTTTTATTTATATTTCCACTCCTATCATGAATGTATATATTTATAAACTTCCTCCCAGATCTTTAAATTTGTAAGAAAAAAAGAATTACCCATGCACGTACCATCAAATTTTCTATATAAAAATTCACGAGGTTTATTTTAAAAAAGTTTATGTAATGTAGAGTACCATACTTTAAGAGAGCTTAGTGAGGTAGGTTACTTACCTCGGAGGTGCGATTTTTTCAGAGCATCTTTATGAGGTTTATACAAAGCAGTAGAATATTTCTTAGCAAAATGCTGTTCCTTGTGTAGACTCGCAACTGTTCGAATATTTGTGATTGATTCTATTGCAATCTGCAAAATAGTAAATGAGAAAATGGGCATCAACTAAAATTAATATCCAGCTTTCAACACAACTAAAAACTAGTTTAATGTAAAGGTTTTTCTGAAAGAGCATACAGTATACAAAATTTCAGTACAGCACTGTATTAGAATTTTGATAAAAATCTTGAAAATTTGTTTATCATACTTAAAAAAATACACATAGTGTTTCCATGATCATAATCTTTATTTCTTTAAAGCATAAAAAGACATTACAATAAGTTAACAGTTAGCTTGTTTACAGATTGGATACAGCTCACTTTCTTATGCCCTCTTTCACCCATGCTGCCCATGTTCAACCTGGGTTTCATCAGGTCTACATGTTGGCCTGAACTGTGACTTTTGATCACTGTACAGTATCTTCAAACAATTTGTTTATTTATAAGCAACTATTGGCAGAAAGGTGGACTGGTGCAAGTACGAGCAGTGGGGAAGTTGAAGAGGGTTTGAATAGTTTTAAAAATGCAGTACTGTATTAGAATGTGGGGCAGAAGTTTGTGGTTATAGGAGGGTGGGTGCAGGAGGAAAGAGGAGTGATTAGTGGAATGATGAAGTAAAGGTTGTGATAAAAGAGAAAAAGTTAGCTTATGAGAGGTTTTTACAAAGCATAAGTGTTATAAGAAGAGTAGAGTATATGGAGAGTAAAAAAAAGGTGAAGAGAGTGGTGAGAGAGTGCAAAAGGAGAGCAGATGATCGAGTGGGAGAGGCACTGTCAAGAAATTTTAATGAAAATAAGAAAAAATTTTGGAGTGAGTTAAACAAGTTAAGAAAGCCTAGGGAAAGTATGGATTTGTCAGTTAAAAACAGAGTAGGGGAGTTAGTAGATGGGGAGAGGGAGGTTTTGGGAAGATGGCGAGAATATCTTGAGGAACTTTTAAATGTCGACGAAGAAAGGGAGGCGGTAATTTCATGCACTGGCCAGGGAGGTATACCATCTTTTAGGAGTGAAGAAGAGCGAAATGTAAGTGTGGTGGAGGTACGTGAGGCATTACGTAGAATGAAAGGGGGTAAAGCAGCTGGAAATGATGGGATCATGACAGAAATGTTAAAAGCAGGGGAGGATATAGTGTTGGAGTGGTTGGTACTTTTGTTTAATAAATGTATGAAAGAGGGGAAGGTACCTAGGGATTGGCGGAGAGCATGTATAGTCCCTTTATATAAAGGGAAAGGGGACAAAAGAGATTGTAAAAATTATATAGGAATAAGTTTACTGAGTATACCAGGAAAAGTATACGGTAGAGTTATAATTGAAAGAATTAGAGGTAAGACAGAATGTAGAATTGCGGATGAGCAAGGAGGCTTCAGAGTGGGTAGGGGATGTGTAGATCAAGTGTTTACATTGAAGCATATATGTGAACAGTATTTAGATAAAGGTAGGGAAGTTTTTATTGCATTTATGGATTTAGAAAAGGCATATGATAGAGTGGATAGAGGAGCAATGTGGCAGATGTTGCAAGTTTATGGAATAGCTGGTAAGTTACTAAATGCTGTAAAGAGCTTTTATGAGGATAGTGAGGCTCAGGTTAGGGTGTGTAGAAGAGAGGGAGAATACTTCCCGGTAAAAGTAGGTCTTAGACAGGGATGTGTAATGTCACCATGGTTGTTTAATATATTTATAGATGGGGTTGTAAAAGAAGTAAATGCTAGGGTGTTCGGGAGAGGGGTGGGATTAAATTATGGGGAATCAAATTCAAAATGGGAATTGACACAGTTACTTTTTGCAGATGATACTGTGCTTATGGGAGATTCTAAAGAAAAATTGCAAAGGTTAGTGGATGAGTTTGAGAATTTGTGTAAAGGTAGAAAGTTGAAAGTGAACATAGAAAAGAGTAAGGTGATGAGGGTATCAAATGATTTAGATAAAGAAAAATTGGATATCAAATTGGGGAGGGGGAGTATGGAAGAAGTGAATGTTTTCAGATACTTGGGAGTTGACGTGTCGGCGGATGGATTTATGAAGGATGAGGTTAATCATAGAATTGATGAGGGAAAAAAGGTGAGTGGTGCGTTGAGGTATATGTGGAGTCAAAAAATGTTATCTATGGAGGCAAAGAAGGGAATGTATGAAAGTATAGTAGTACCAACACTCTTATATGGATGTGAAGCTTGGGTGGTAAATGCAGCAGCGAGGAGACGGTTTGAGGCAGTGGAGATGTCCTGTCTAAGGGCAATGTATGGTGTAAATATTATGCAGAAAATTCGGAGTGTGGAAATTAGGAGGTGTGGAGTTAATAAAAGCATTAGTCAGAGGGCAGAAGGGGGGTTGTTGAGGTGGTTTGGTCATTTAGAGAGAATGGATCAAAGTAGAATGACATGGAAAGCATATAAATCTATAGGGGAAGGAAAGAGGGGTAGGGGTCGTCCTCGAAAGGGTTGGAAAGAGGGGGTAAAGGAGGTTTTGTGGGCAAGGGGCTTGGACTTCCAGCAAGCGTGCATGAGCGTGTTAGATAGGAGTGAATGGAGACGAATGATACTTGGGACCTGACGATCTGTTGGAGTGTGAGCAGGGTAATATTAGTGAAGGGATTCAGGGAAACGTTATTTTCATATAGTCGAACTTGAGTCCTGGAAATGGGAAGTACAATGCCTGCACTTTAAAGAGGGTTTGGGATATATGGCAGTTTGGAGGGATAATGTTGTGTATCTTTTACTAAGGCTTAACTGTGTATTCTGGCACCTCGCAAAGCAGTGATAATGTGTGAGTGTGTGAAAAGTTGAATGATGAAGTATTTTCTTTTTGGGATTTCTTCTTTTTTGGGTCACCCTGCCTCGGTGGGAGACGACCGACTTGATGAAAAAAAAAAAAAAAAAATTCAGGGAAACCGGTTATTTTCATATAGTCGAACTTGAGTCCTGGAAATGGGAAGTACAATGCCTGCACTCTAAAGGAGGGGTTCGGGATATTGACAGTTTGGAGGGATATGTTGTGTATCTTTATATGTACATATAGTATGCTTCTAAGCTGTTGTGTTCTGAGCACCTCTGCAAAAACAGTGATTATGTGTGAGTGAGGTGAAAGAGTTGAATGATGAAAGTATTTTCTTTTTGGGGATTTTCTTTCTTTTTGGGTCACCCTGCCTTGGTGGGAGACGGCTGACTTGCTAATAAAAAAAAAAAATAAGTCATAAGAGTTCCCTCCCCCCCCCCCAAAAAAAAAAATAAATAAAGCACTCCATCTAGCAGACATACTGTATCATACAAATTGCATATCATATTGAACTCCTGCAGCACAAGATTTTACAAATTACTGTATTAATGTTAAAAATAACTGGTGCTAGCCATACGTGGTTAATACCAATAATTCCATCATCTCCAAGGGTAAGTGGAGAAGAATCCTTCCTCCATAAGCCATGCATGTCATAAGAGGCTACTAAAATGCTGGGAGCAAGGGGCTAGTAACCCCTTCTGTATAAATTACTAAATGTAAAAAGAAAAACTTTGCATTTCTTCTTTTTTGGGTCACTCTGCCTCAGTGGGACACAGCCATTGTAAAAAAAAAAATTCATCACATACTGTATTCCAAAACTAATTCTGAGAAAATAAAAAAACAGTATGATGAGTGATTTCCTACCTTGCCTGCATCTTGTAGTGTCTTGGATTCTGTGACACTCTGACCCATGAGGATTTTACTTTGGAGGTAGACAGCAATCAGCACAAATGGTATAAAGGGAAGTGTGACAAGTCCTAGGCGCCAGTCAAAATAGAGTCCCATAATGATGCTTACACCAAGAGTTGTAATAGCTTGGACAATAGTTCCTACACGAGATCCAGTTGCCTGTTAAAAATTGTTTAAGGAGATTTGATACGTATATAATTACAACAGTATTACTATCACCAGTGAGGATTAATCATCTCAGAATAAAATCTTTATGTCCTCATGTAATATATTTTTATGCATGAACAATTTATCTTTGGCATTCTGCATTTACTAATTTCCAACTACATTAGGGTAAATTTCTTTTTAATAATCTTGTAGACTTGCCCGACTATTAAATTTACTTAGATTTACTAATGCTGGATATACATATATCACATAACTTTATCTACAAAAAAAAAAAAGGAATATTTTGTAGCATACCCCTTGTACTGCAGAAGCATCTCCAGAGAGACGTGAACAAAGGGCACCAACAGAATTCTTCTCTTCATCGAACCATCCCATCTCCTGATGCAGCATAGCATTAAATGTGAGTTTCCGTAGTCTTGCAGTAAGGAGTTCTCCAGACAATGCAAACATGTATGCCTATTAAAAAATTAAAAAATTAAAAGTTTCAAAAGGTGAGTTAACATATAAAATTATTTACCTATGATAACAAAATTATGATCTAAAGCAGCAAATTATGAATGGATTATAGTGAACATGGAAAATAAAGCTCCAAGAACATGAATAGTTTTGTTAATAGAGAAGCTAACATGCTACCTGAATGTCATCCGTATGTGTATTTTATTACAATCAACCTTGAAGAGCGACTTCGTCATCAGAAAAATCAACAATATTTTTTTTTCAACATGCTGGTTGTCTCCCACTGAGGCAGGGTGACCCAAAAAAAAAAAAAAGAAAAATTTTCACTATTGTTCACACATATCACTGTCTTTGCAGAGACAAGCAGATACAACAGTTCAGATGTCACTCTAAACAGCAAATATCCCAAACCCCTCTTTTGAAATGTAGGCTTGTACTTCCCACCTCCAGAACTCAAGTCGTGTTAACTGGTTTGCCCGAATCCCTTCACAAAATATTACCCTGCTCACACTCCAACAGCTCGTCAGGTCCCAAAAACCATTTGTCTCCAATCCTATCTAACACACTCACATATGCCTGCTGTAAGTCCAAGCCCCTTGCACACAAAACCTCTTTTACCCCCTCCCTCCATCCTTTCCTAGGACAACCCCTACTCCTCCTTCCCACTTATACAGATTTATACACCAATATATAAGCTTTAAAACAATGAAAAGGACTGCAGTTTTTACACTTTAATTTAGTCTATCTTAGAGGAGATTTTTTTTTTAAAAACTATCTTTAAAAACAGTACTCCAAGAAAATTTGCCAAATGATCAATGAAGTACATATATATATTAGCTAAATACAGAGCAAATGCTTAGTTTTAGGTCTGATACCACATAGTTACTAACCATATCAAACTACAGAGTACCTAGATGAATAAGAATGATTTCTGCTCAACAATGCTACAGTGGAAAACTGCTTTTTTTTTTTAATATAATTACAGCACTACAATTATTATACATAAAAATGCTACACCGAGGCTTTTTTTTGTCAGAATTAGAAATGTAAAAAATTCAAAAATATAATGAATGCAAAATTAAGTTAAACAATGGTGATTTAATGTATTAATAAAAAAGATGCAGTTTATGTCTTGATATCAACCTTATTAATGATTATACAATACTCAAAAAGCATTTAAGCATGGGTATTAATTTAAGGCATGAATTACATAACTTTCAAAATCAAATCAGTCAAATAAAAAATTTATTTATCTGCAAAGGTTACAATGCGTGTTTACATTTCATAATTTGATTGGTACAAAGAAAGCCACTATCATGCTGAGGCATTTTGGGCAGACTTAACCTAATGCTTAAAGACTACTTAAGTCTAGACATGTGAAGAGTGGTAAATTACAAATATTCAATAGACATGTGAAGAGTGGTAAATTACAAATACAGTGGACCCTCGACCAGCGATGGCATTGATTAACGATAAATCTGACTAGCGATACATTTTATCGCAAAAATTTTGCCTCGATTAGCGCTAAAAAACTCGACCAACACTATTCGTTCCGTCTGAGACGCGTCCACTTCTGGCCAGTGTTTACAAGCCAGCCAGCCACCGTGGTCGCTTCCAAGCATACAATCGGAACATTTCATATTATCACAGCCTTTTTAGTGATTGCACCTGCAAAATAAGTCACCATGGGCCCCAAGAAAGCTTCTAGTGCCAACCCTACAGCAAAAAGGGTGAGAATTACTATGGATATGAAGAAAGAGATCATTGCTAAGTGTGAAAGTGGAGTGCATGTCTCCGAGCTGGCCAGGCTGTACACAAAACCCCAATCAACCATCGCTACTATTGTGGCCAAGAAAACGGCAATCAAGGAAGCTGTTCTTGCCAAAGGTGCAACTATGTTTTCGAAACTGAGATCGCAAGTGATAGAAGATGTTGAGTGTTATTGGTATGGATAAACGAAAAACAGATAGCAGGAGATATCATCTCTCAAGCGATCATATGTGAAAAGGCTAGGAAGTTGCATGACGATTTAATTAGAAAAATGCCAGCAACTAGTGGTGATGTGAGTGAATTTAAGGCCAGCAAAGGTTGGTTTGAGAGATTTAAGAATCGTAGTGGCATACATAGTGTGATAAGGCATGGTGAGGCTGCCAGTTTGGACCAAAAAGCAGCTGAAAAATATGTGCGGGAATTCAAGGAGTACATAGACAGTGAAGGACTGAAACCTGAACAAGTGTTTAATAGTGACACTGACAATGTTGTGAAACACTTTAGGAATGTCATAAAGGAACGGGAGGTACAGGCCTCTATGGGCAGAGGTCCAGTGACTCTCAAGCTGGTCCTAGTGGCATTAAAAGAAGAAGGGAAGTAACCCCAAAAAAGGACTTGCCACCTCAAGTCCTAATGGAAGGGGATTCCCCTTCTAAACACTAAGACCATCAACACACTCCCCTCTTCCCATCCCATCAATCATCACCAGATCTTCAATAAAGGTAAGTGTCATGTAACTGTGCATGTCTTCTTCAGTTTGTGTGTATTAAAATTAATATTTCATGTGTTAAAATTTTTTTTTTCAATACTTTTGGGTGTCTTGCACGGATTAATTTGATTTCCATTATTTCTTATGGGGAAAATTAACTTGACTAACGATTATTTTGACTAACGATGAGCTCTCAGGAACGGATTAATAGCGTTAGTCGAGGGTCCACTGTATTCAATATTTTACTCTATTATTAATGAGAGGTAGTAAATTTATGATACAGACACACACTTTTAAGTTTGTAATAACAGTTTAATAGTTAAAGGATAATAAAATATTTGGGAGAGTTGCTTCGAATTTGGTTAGAGATTAGCACTGTGTGGGTATGATTGTTATTGAGAGATGAGATGATTTTTAAGTATAGTCCTAAATTGATTTGTGAGCAGGGGACCTCTTCCTGCTTTGGGTAAAGAGTTCCAGATCTTCTGGCCCTTTACATGCATTGCATTTTTGCATAGTGTGAGACGGACACGAGGGATGTCAAAAAGTGTTTTGTACTTCGTAGTATTCCTGTGTGTTCTGTTGAAGTTGTCTAGGAGAAGTTTGAATGGAGGGTTGATACTGGAGTTTAATGTTCTGTATATATAGTAGGCACAATAATAAGTGTGTATATTTTGTATATTAAGTAAGTTCAAGCTCTTGAAGAGTGGTGGGGTGCGTTGTCTGGCACAGGAGTGTGTGATCATCCGCACAGCAGCTTGTTGTTGGGTTATTAAAGGTTTAAGGTGACTGGCTGTGGTAGATCCCCAAGCACAAATACAATAGGTGAGATAAGGGTATATTAGTGATATAAAGCAAGTAGTGCCATTTGGAATACATAGTATTGTACAGTGGAACCTCAAGTTTTGAACTTAATCCGTTCCAGGAGCTAGTTCTAAATTCGAAAAGTCTGAAATTCGAAGCAATATTTCCCATAAGAAATAATGGAAATACAATTAATCCGTTCCAGAAACCCAAAAATATTCACAAAAAAATACATTTTAGAGAGATTAATTACAGTTTTACATACACACAACAAATGCTATAGTCTTTAATTATGTAGTATAGTAAAATAAAATAACATTTTTACTTACCTTTATTGAAGATTGATGATGGCATCTGGAAGATAGGGAGGAGGAGAGAGAGAGTTGGGGTTATTGTTTGGAAGGAAAATCCCCCTCCATGAGGACTTCCGGTATCAAAGCCCTCTCTGGGGTTGCTTCCCTTCTCTGTATTTTAATGCCACTAGGACCAGCTTGAGAGTCATTGGACCCCAGTCTCACAAAATAACTGTCTACAGTCCTCTGTTTCTGTCTCACAAAATAACTATCTGAAGTCGTCTGTTTGTCTCACAAAATAACTGTCCACAATCGTCTGTCTCACAAAATAACTCCACAGTCGTCTGTTTCTGTCTCACAAAATAACTGTCCTACAGTCGTCTGTTTCTGTCTCACAAAATAACTGTCCACAGTCGTCTGTTTCTGTCTCACAAAATAACTGTCCACAGTCCTCTGTACGTCCTGGCAAGCTCAACAAGTCTCACTCCAATCTCATACTTCTGTATTATTTCCTTCTTCACATCTATGGTGTTTCTCACTTTCTTTACCACAGGGGTACCACTAGCAAGTTTCTTTGGGCCCATGGCAGCTTATTTCACAGCCCCAGAAGCACTAAACACAATTAAATAATCGTAAAATGTGTGAATAAGATTGCAGGTTAGTGTTCACTCAAGCATAAACAAAGCTAGACTGCTCACGGTGCCTGCGCGGAGATGCAGACAGAGCGGGCCAGCGGACAGGTCCCGTACCCGGCGGTCCAAAAATAGAGGTGTGTTCGATAATAGGGACACAGTTTGTCCGAAAAAAATGGTCTTATTTTCGAAACGTTCGATATGTGATACGTTCGATTTTTGAGGTTCCACTGTATCTTGGAAAGGATGTCTGCAGTTTAGGAAATTTTCTTCGTTATATGCTGAATGTGGGTTTGAAATTTAAGATTACAGTCAAGGTGGATAAGATAAGATAAGATTTCGTTCGGATTTTTAACCCCGGAGGGTTAGCCACCCAGGATAACCCAAGAAAGTCAGTGCATCATCGAGGACTGTAACTTATTTCCATTGGGGTCCTTAATCTTGTCCCCCAGGATGCGACCCACACCAGTCGACTAACACCCAGGTACCTATTTGCTGCTAGGTGAACAGGACAATAGGTGTAAGGAAACGTGTCGAAATGTTTCCACCCGCCAGGAATCGAACCCAGGCCCTCCATGTGTGAAGTGGGAGCTTTAGCCACCAGGCCACCGGGCCACCCTAGAAATTTGCCCTCACTGTGTCTTGTAATGGGTGAACCATTTATTGATATGTTTAGCTAGATATTTAATGCTCAAGTTTCTAAAAAGCATAAAGTAGGCTTTGTCTATACTGAGAGAGAGTTTGTTGGTTGTCATCCAGTTTGATATTTTATGTAACTTGCTGTTTACAATG